CCATTTTTTACCCTTAAAACCCCCCCCTCCCACTTCCCGAACTCAGATCGCCCGTAATTTATTTTTCCTTTAATTTTTATTATATTCCCTTCCTTTTTCAATGGGTTTCATCCTACTGTTATTTTTTTTCTCTTTTTACCATTTTTAAAGGCTTCTGCACTGGTCTATAAAATAATAGAAAAATAATAACATATTTTTATAACATACAAAGATAACTAGCAATCTACGCAATCTTACAATGTTGCCATAATTTTTAAGCGTCCCGTCACGTTTTTTGTTTTGCAGATAATACAATGGAAATAAGTTTTATAATGTTTTGGGGCAAGTATAGGCCGGGCCCCCACAAGGCTAGGGCCCCCCGCGGTGGCGAGCGTTCGCGGTACTGTCGCTACGCCACTGTTCTCTCTTCTAATCTGTCGCAAAATTTGCTTTACATTAATTTTAGAAATTAATTATATGATTTTATTTTTATGTCATTTCATAGCTGGTTTTGCCAGAACGGTTGCACCCAAAAATGGGTAAAATTGATAATTTTATAAAGACATATTAGTAATAGTAAAGTAAGGGCAAACAAAATTGTTATTGCAACACCAAATTTATTTTAATTTATAATCACAATATTGTTTTTTTTCTACTTTATTAAAAAAAATTTACTTTACCCCTTGAATAAGATCACATGTCTCAATATGCAGGCCCTGTATAATAATGTAAATTAAATTTAAAAAACTCGGTATGCCAAAATTATTATTGTCACAATTTATATTCGTGAAAAAACAGCAATCACATGAAATGTGTAAAAATGGATTTTTGTACACCCAAAAACGAACTTTATGTAAATATTGTAATTGTTCCGTACTGACACGGTTTACAAATTTATTTTCAAGGAAATTAACGTAGTTTTATATATGTTACAAATTTATTTTAGAATAAATTTTAAATTTCTAAATTATCGTGTTAAAGGCAAAAAGTTTTGCAAAAGTGGTAAAAAGGTACACTTAGGTAAAGGAATTACAGGTTTTTCGAACTTTGCCTCAAAAACCTGGCGTCCAGATGATTCAAGAAACGATGGTCCAGGTACACGAATCGAGTAAAGGGAAGCAAAAAACAGGCAGAACGTTTTTGGAAGTGTTAGCGAACGGATCGTTTCTTGTAAATTTTTGCTAAAACGAAATTTATTGCAAAGTTTGTGTATTCTCCAAGGTTAGTTTTTAATTTTGAATATTTAAAACGAAAAGTAAAATAAATGTGATGACAATAAATATTTTATTCGAAACATCTGACTTATTATTTCGACAAAGGACTTCCTAAAGCGAGCAATATTTTAGTTTTACTTTTATAAAACACTAACTTTCAAACAAAGGTATTATATATCTGTATAGTGTCAGAACGCATATATACTTAAAAAATATATAAGGTGCCATTAATTCACATTAAGCGCAAAAAATATTGGGTGCGGGAACGTCAATGTAGTTTTTGGTGTCACTTGGTACTTTTACGCGTATATATATATATATATATATATATATATATATATATATATATATCAGGTTGAATGCGGATGCTAAAACTGAGCCTAATCTTTCAAGTGCGGTATCGGTCTTCTGAGCCCGATGCTGGTAAAGTCTGCTTTGCGGTATCGGTCCTTGGGGACCGATATGTTAAAAAAGATAAAGCGACATCTGACGCAAAATTTATGAATGATATCAGTATTTTCTGTATAGGATTCTGTTTACCAATTCCCCCAACAGAAGTGACATCGTCAGCATCGGTCTCCGGGGACCGTAACCGCACAGAAAGATGGTTAACATTTAGTTACCTATAACATTTTTAAAATTATTTTAGCTTCAAATAAAACTTTTTTATTTCAACGTTATTTATTACTTAAGAAATAAATATACATATTGCTTACAAACACAAAATATCAATTTTCTGATAAACTGTTAAAAAAATCAAAATTTGACAGAAAACAGGTGATTCAAATATAGGTCTCTGGGGACCGATAACGCATGTTAGAAATAAATATTACTCCAGTGCGGTACCGGTCTCCGGAGACCGATGGAAGGTTAGACGTTTGTTAAAGTTCTGTACCTCTTAAGGATCAAAAAGCCATATTTAATGCGAAAATAGAGGTTTTCGTTTCGAAGATACAGCTCCCGCACCATGAGTAGTTTAAGCACATATCTAGCCGCATAGAAACGCAGTTGCGCCATCGGTCCCCGGAGACCGACGACGCAGTCAACGTGATATACAGGGTGTTCCGAAATTAGTGCACCATACTTTAACAGCAGATTCTACGTGCAAAAATAAGAAAAAAGTCCCTATAAATATAGGTCGAGAAATGCCTCCTAAGGGAGCTACAGCCCCCGAAAAGGGAGCCCCTGAAGATGGTTTTTATCTAATATAAATAAAAAAGTAGAAACACCCTGTCACTTACTCCATGAAACTGTCACCTGTCTTGAATTATTCTATTTTTTCCTAAACATGGCAGCCGTATTCCAAGGACTACGCGAGTCCATTTCTATGGTTGTGATTTAATTGTGAATTTTTATGCCATGTAAAATAATTTTCAAATCGATTTTATGCGAAAACGGTGTATGTTATCGAAGTTCAACAAGATGACCTTTTTTATGTGCAAAACTCTAAAATTTCATAATCTGACACCAAATTCTGGTACAAGATACGTACAAAAAATTTAAGGTGGTTTTAACCCTACTTCCTATCAATCTGACCCAAACCTCATAAAAAATTTTAAATTGTTATTGTTACCTACGTCTTATTGGTCATAAAAAGTTTAATTAATTCCCCAAATTTCACTTTTATATCTTTAACGGTTTTGGAGATATTAAATAAAAACCATCTTCAGGGGCTTTCCTTTTGGGGGCTGTAGCTCCCTTAAGAGGCATTTCTTGACCTATGTTTATAGGGACTTTTTTTCTTATTTTTGCACGTACAATCTGCTGTTAAAGTATGGTGCACTAATTTCAGGACACCCTGTACATACATATATGTCGCTGCTAACACGTGTCTAATAAAAATAAAATAAAATATTGAGTTAATTTTATACGGAAAATACACTGTGAGACAAAGTTACCCCCAACCAGGGGTAACTTTGCACACCCAGTTTTTAATTTTTATTTTTGAAACTCAGCCCTATGTAATATTATAACATAGTTATTATGAAAGGGCAACTCAAGACACAAATTTTGGTATACAAAATTTAATGTTTATGATTGTTAAAACCACAAAAATTTTAAGCTTAAGTTTGAAAGTGAGCTAAAGCCACCCGTGTTTACGGTATACACAGTGAGAAATTTCCATTAAATTTTAATATGGGTGCCTAGTATCACTGGACTATATGAAACTTCTTCAAAATTTACAACTTTTTACTCAATTTAACCCAGTTTTCTCGCAATTTTACACTGTTTCTTTCGGAAAAAAAATTACGTGATAATTGCCAAGACCACCATCCCCCCGTGAGATTGGGTGAGGTTTGGCTCGACCCCCTCCCCCCTAAACACCTCACGTAATTAAAGGATGCCCCCTAACAGAAAATTGGGTATACCAAAAATTGCCTTTACTTACCGTTTTTTATTTTCATTTCCTTTCTCTTACATGCATTCAACAACTGTGCTAGTTTTTTATTTTTTGGAAATCGAAAATATTTAATGTTAGGTTAGGTTGGGTTGAGTTTCTGTTCATATTTCTGCCGTCTGTTACAGCACAGCCCGGCATATTTTAAATAGTTATTAAATCCAACAAATATCCCAGTAAGCACCAAACACTCGGCAAACAGTCGGCCTTCGCTCGGCATAGGCGGTTGACCGACGGTTCGGCTTGCCCCAGCCGGCCCGCTTACGGCCCGCGTGATGTTACCCCGGTACCGTTTAGCCATGTTCTAACCGAAGTCGGCCAAAATACGGCATGCCGCTGCAAAATCCTTCGGCTTGCGCTAGCCGGCCCGCTTACGGCTGGAATACGGCCTGCCGCGGCAAAAGCGATACATCTCAAGGCTGCTTACGCACGCGAGCTAACTATAAATAGCGATTGGTTGCAATATTTAGTTGGAAGTGTGCGTCCGTAATGGCATAGCTGAACATTAATTGTTTGGAGTCCCCATCTCCATCCTCATCTGCTCAGTAACGAATAATGTCTAGCTAGTCGAGTGTGTTAAAGAAGTATCTTGACATTCAGAGAATTTTAGGACTGAACTTATAGGATATACCTCTCCAGGACGTCTGTAGGCTTTTTTTGAATGGCCAGGCGGTGGTGGCCGGCACTCGGCCAACTATACACAGCCGACCTTCGGCCGAGTAAACATAGCCGACATTCGGCCAGGCGGATATGCCCGACAGTTGGTCAGGCGGACATGCCCATTCTACACGTCGGAAGAAATACGTGTGTCGGGCCACACGCGTCCGATTAGGCAAAACGTATTCCGGCCATATGCGGGCCGGCTTGCTTGTGCTTACTGGGATAACACAAACCTAATAAATAACCTAGTATAAAACACCTGTCGCTACTATAAAAGGTGTTCCATTCTTGTTTTCGCGATATTGGATCATTGGTGATGAATTTTAATATTATAAAATGTGATATATCATTGAAACTCAACGCTTATATGCTTCTATAGTTATGTTAGTGTGTGGTCATGGTGAATTACATATTGTGTTTTTAATTGTAAATGTAATTCAACTAAATCGTTGCATTTTTATGTTTTGCCAAAGGATTTAATACGGTACCTACGTATATTTGTTGGTGCAGAATTAACTAATGATAACTTTACCAAATATAATTTATATTTTTAAGAAATCTAACAAAATAATTGTTGTGTACAAACATAACCATAATAGTTTTATATTTGAGTTCTCTAAAAAACGCAAACTGCATAAAAATATACCTACGAATTCATGGCAACATAATATATATATATATATGTGTATAATACATAATATAATACCGGTTCTTGGTATTTTAATGTTGAGTGGAGGTTTTCCGGCTTTATACTCAAAAACACTCATTTTTAACATACGAGTTTGACAGCTGCTTATTAAAAGCTGAATTCTGGTTACGTGGTGGCGCCTCTAGCGATGCTTCTTAAGCGTATTCTTAAATAGTTTTGATATTCTTGGATTTTATATAGGTATTTCTTTAAGAAAAGGCTACAAATAAAACCCAAACTCTTATTGTAATTTTATTAGGAAATATATATAACATCGCTTTTCAAACAAAAGTCCAAAGACCGATGGATGGCGCGTCATAAAAACACTTTAGTTCCTCCAAAGGCCGATATATGGCGCGCAATGACACTAGTTAGTTCCTCCGAAGGCCGAATAGATGGCGCACAATGAAACTCGTTAGTTCCTCCACAGGCCGATAGATTGCGCGAACTGTCTGCACTTCAACGACAACTCCTCGTGTATTAGCGAAAAGCACATCGCCACCACCACGAGTCCTAGGAAGATGTACGCGCAGCAGGCCAATAGTTGCAGCTGCGCGTGCACGTCTGCGCCGTGCGGCAACTTATCCCCGATGCCGATGGTAGAAAGGGCTATAAAGCAGAAATAGGTGGCGTCGAGGAAACTCCAACCGCTGGTGGAGACGAAAGCTGCGGCCCCCATCGCGACGTAGGATACGAAGAAGAGCAGCACGAGGACCGCAGGCACTGTCGGTGTGTTGGGTTGGGGGTTGGAGGCTGCCGGCGAGGGCGTGGCCGGCCTCGTGTTGTTCTCCTGCGCGCGGTAGATGAGGGGCACTCTGGATGGCGTGTCGTGAAGGCACAACCTGGAGAAATAGATGTATTGATTCAGACGAGCATTTGGTATTTCAGGGAAGAGGAAAGAACTAAGCGAAGGAGAGAGCAAAACAAAAGTGGAAAAAGGAGAAAAAAGGCGAAAGGTAAAAGGGAAAGAAGAACGAGGATAAAAAAGGGTAGAAAAAAGAGAAAAGGAAAGAAGAAAGAAATAAGTAGAGGCATTAGGTAAGGAAGGAGTAGAGGAGATAAAAGAAAAGAGGAGAGCAATAAGTAGATTAAAGAACCTATAAATGATATAAGGTTAAAGAGGTAAGAGAAGAGAGGCAAGTCCAGTATCAATCCAAAGAGAGAAAAGACGAAAGGAAAAGGGGAAGGAAGAACGTGGATACACACGAGTAGAAAAAAGAGGAAAGGAAATAAGAAAGAAACAAGTAGAGGCAATAGGTAAGAAAAAAGTAGAGGAGATAAAAGAAAAGAGGAGAGCAATAAGAAGAAAAAGAACCAATAAAAGATATAAAGTTAAAGAGGTAAGAGAAGAGAGGCAAGTCCAGTATCAATCCAAGGAGAGAAAAGACGAAAGGAAAAGGGGAAGGAAGATCGTGACTGTATTCAAGAGTAGAAAAAAGAGGAAAGGAAATAAGAAAGAAACAAGTAGAGGCAATAAGTAAGGAAAGAGTAGAGGAGATAGAAGAAAAGAGGAGAGCAATAAAAAGAGAAAAGAACCAATAAAAGATATAAGATTAAAGAGGTAAGAGAAGAGAGGCAAGTCCAGTATCAATTCAAGAAGAGAAAAGATGAAAGGAAAAGGGGAAGGAAGAACGTGGATACAAACGAGTAGAAAAAAGAGGAAAGTAAATAATAAAGAAACAAGTAGAGGCAATAGGTACGGAAAGAGTAGAGAAGATAAAAGAAAATAGGAGAGCAATAAGAAGAGAAAAGAACCAATAAAAGATATAAGGATAAAGAGGTAAGAGAAGAGTGACAAGTCCAGTATCTCGTCGAAAAGAGGAGAGCAATAAAAAAAGAACCAATAAAAGATGAAAGGTTAAAGAGGTAAGAGAAGAGAGGCAATTCCAGTATCAATCCAAGGAGAGAAAAAGCGAAAGGAAAAATGAAAGAAAGAAAGTGGATAGAAAAGAAAAAAGAAACAATTAGAGGCAATAGGCAAGGATAGTAGAGGAAAGAAGAGAAGAGTAGAGGAAAGGAATGAAAAGAGGAGAAAAGAACCAATAAAAGATGAAAGGTTAAAGAGGTAAGAGAAGAGTGGCAAGTCCAGTATCAATCCAAGTGCCAAATCAAGTGTCAAACTACAATAAACACCTTCTGGTTCACAAAATCATTCTCATCCTACTTACACATGCTCATTTTCATCGTTATCGTCGGCATCCTCGATATCCGTCGAGGACATCCCGATGATGATGGAATTTTTCACCGGCGTGCCGTGATGCGAATGCGTCGGACATAGAGGCGGATCCGTCAGAATCTGCCTGACGACGCCTTGCCGACATCTGCCTCGTGCATGGCCGGACCTCACCGTGGCGAGGATGGCACGTTTTGGCACTTCCTGGTGATCGAGGAACTGAGCTGGCGGTTTGCAGTTGACGTGATTCGGCGTCCCGTGACTGGAAGCCAACTGGATTGAAGCAGAATCTAAAATAAAAAGATTTAATAAATGGTTTATTTATGTGCATTGTTTATCTTTACCTTCATGGTTCTTGCAGTAGTTTTTCCCTGAAGGACTTGAAGGCGCTTTATGGTACCCCACCGTGGGACTTCGTGCTTTTTGTTTGTTGTTGTTGCCGTTTTGTTTGCAGCACAGCTTCGAATATCCTCGCCTGGCGCCGCTGGCCAGCATACTGCCCAGAGCTGACAACAGTATCAGCATCAACGGTACTCCTATTATCGCGTAGATGATTGCTACGATTTTGCCAACAGCTGTTCTTGGAGTTAACCTGCTATTGCCTGTAAAGTAGGAGACATATTTTCGGTCTCTGCAAAACTCTCTTACTGATATAAAGTGAGCTTTAAAAGTGCACATTGTACAGACATTGTTAAGAGTAATCCAAAGTAAATAAATAAGGAAAGAAATGACCATTAGACTAAATAATGGTTGTAGTCCAAATGAAAAATCGGATCACGTCGGTAACTTGCAACGACTTTAAATCAATTTCCGTTTACAATTTTACTGCAATAAACTTTTCAATTTTCTTCAATTAAACTTATTCTTTTGCTGTGGTAATCTACTTAGCGATAAAACCAAAAGTTAAAGATAAAGAAGTTGAGTTGGATTCAATAAGAATAGACCACGGCCCAAATTACAAAGTAATATACGATTTAAACGATTTTGATTTTCGATAGAAATGTTTAAATAAAAAGCATATTAAAGTCAAATAAAGGGAAACCAGAGCGGAATTTGGCATATGCAGGTTGCGTGAGCCAAATACGAATTCGTTTACCTAAAAAACGTGTAATTTATACTGTTTCCCACGCACCCTCAGGAATTCCGAAGTATTCCGTAAGGGGAGACAGGACTGGCGTAAGGCACGCCCGACACTCGGCTTAAATATAAATAGACCTGTAGCTTCTTAACTTATTCAGCATTCACCTAAATACGACTGGAGATACTTACCAGCCTTTTAATAACGGAGTCTAAAACTTTTCTTTCATTCAAATTTAAACTATTGTTGGGAAATGAAAGGATATATTACTATATAGTAAGTAAATAATAAAACCTATGAGTAACTCGAAGCTCGGCCCTGCTGGGAATTTATTATTAAAGACCGACTAACCATTTTACATTGACAAAATAGGATACCGTAGAACCTATTATTAACACGCGTGTCGCGCTCGTAACAACATAAATTTATATATATATATATATATGTATATATATATATATATATATATATATATATATATATATATATATATAGTAAAATAGTTAAATTATGTGTCAAAGTTTAAACTATGAATTAGGATTTGGTTAAATATTGCCTATTTATTAGATTAAAATAGAAGCCTTTATCGACATCTCCGTGTCGTTGAAATCCCGAACTTGTTAGCATAATTAACAGGAACTAACTAAGACATTTTAATTAAATAAATTTGCATACACGACAATTTGTCTTAATCTATGCTGTGCTTTATTTAAGCATGTGTTAATGTCTTTGACGTACGACTTTGTTCGATAAGCGGAATTGTAGAAATAATTTTGCTGAGTTAAAATAAGAATATTCAAATTATTTTTCTGTAAACATTATTGGGAATAAAAATATCTTTACAATTTTAATAAAAGTATGCAACAAATCAAATCAAATCAAATCAAATCAAATCAAATCAAATCAAATCAAATCAAATCAAATCAAATCAAATCAAATCAAATCAAATCAAATCAAATCAAATCAAACAACTCAAGTCAAGTCAAGTCAAATAAAATCAAGTCAAGTCAAGAGTCAAAGGTCAGAAGTCAAAGGCCAGGGGTCAATGTTCAAAGATCAGGGGTCAAGGGTCATCAAGACTCAAGAGTCTAAGTTCAAAAGTCCAGGGCCATTGTTCAAGAGTCCAAAGGTCAAGAACTAAGGGTCAAAGGTCAAGAGTTATAGGTCGAAAGTTAAGGGTCAAAGGTAATGAGTCAGGGATCATGAGACATGAGTCAAGGATCAGGAGACATGACTCATGTCTCATGATCCATAACTCATGTCTTATGACTTTTGACTCATGACCTTTGACCCTTGACTTTTGACCCCGTTACTCCTTTGACTATTGACCTATTACCTTTGACCCATGACCTTTGTCCCTTGACTTTTGACCATTGACTCATGGGCCATGTTTGACCCTTGGTCCATGACTTTTGACCTATGACCTTTGACCCTTGGCCCATAACTTTTGGCCCTTGAGTCAAGAGTCTACTCAAATCAAGTCCAGTACAGTTTAATCAAATCAATTTATACAATAACAGCTACCTACCGACAGTGGTGAGTAGGGTAAGTGAGTACAAAAGGGCCCCACCGAAAGTCCAATGATTTGCGCTGTTGCCGGTTGCGCCGTCTTTGCCGCTTTCTGCCACCACCCGCTCGAACCTCTTTAGTTGCTCGGTCACCAGACGAGTCCAGTTTTTTTCGTACAAAACGTTCAGTCTTTCTGCAAAAGAACAATTGTCTTGAAATCATAAGAAATGTATTTTCTTTTAGTCTATGGCAATGTTATCTAAATCTAAAATTATTTTTAAAAAACTTTTTATATTTTTAAGCACATAAAAATATACCGAAATCTTTTTACCTTATGACTTTATAATGCCTAGTAACTAAGTGCCTTTTCAGACAAAAAAAGTAATTAAGTTTAAAAAATCATTTAATAAAATAACTGGGTACCAAATAAGGCTCTTTCACTGAAATTAAATATCATTTTTCCGTATAAATTCATAGAGCATTGTATGTAGTCTGGAATCATCTACGCTTGTTGAATTTCAATGAAACAAGCTTTGGACGGTTTCTACGTAAAATTTAATAATATTTTACACTTTTACAAACGCAAAGACTTTTATTCGTTTACGCAGGAAACGCTGACAATGGTAACTGCGACTTTTACTCTGCTAATACTTTGTTATCGCCCTTTCCGAGATATTAAACACAAAACATAAACATTTATTTTGTGCTTTGAAGTTAATTATAATTTATATTCGGTGTTTTAAGGGAGTTAAATTTAATTTTGAAAGCTTTGTTTTAAGTATTTAAATATTTTAACTACATGTCTATAGACATGTAGTTAAAATATAAGATTTTAAAATTAGCGGATTTTACCATTTGTAAAACTGTATACAGTGGAAAAATAAAATGGCGTATTTTACTATTTACAAAGCATTTTAAGATTTTAGCTAATTTTTTATAAAATGAACTTTTTTGGGGCTTTTTAGGAGCCTTTTTTAATTTTTGAGTGCTTAAAAGTCCGGTCTTTACTAATAAAAATAACATTCCATGCATTACAAACCCTGTATTATAAGTTAATTAATGTTTTAAACTAAAAACTACGAGCTACTTTTTACAAAAAGTTAGAGAAATCTCATATTAAAATTACATTAGCTCTATGAAGTAAACTTTTAACTTGACTTTTATTAATATTATCAAGTTTTATAAATTCTAAAACCAAGTAAATTTTAGATGGAAGTTTTTGAAGCAAAAATAAATATCAAAACAGTTTTTTGCATTAAAATAATAAAAAAATACAAAATATTAACTTGAATATCTAAAATTCAAAAAATATTGTTTATGTTAGCTACTCATATTTTTGTAACAAAGCCAGTGATATTTGAATTGGATAATTTTACCAAGTAAAAAACTTTAATTTTAAAGCGGTTAAATAAGCACCGAAACGCAGAAATAAATATGAAAACTTCTAACTAGCTTAAAACTCGGAGCTTAAAATGTTACGTTTTTATTTTAAAAACTGCTTCATTGTTTTAAGTGGGATACAATAAATGCAGAAGTATTCAGACATGGTGGAAAAAAGTAGAAACCACATTTTCAGTGTTTTCATTTGCCATTTTTATAAAGGGTCATCCATTTCGTGCTTGAGAAAGTACACGCTGTACATACGAAAACTACCAACTGCGCATGTGCGTAAAACAGTGTGTGTAGTTGAATAGTTGCCATTTTATAATATGGATCATTTAACCATCGCTCAGCGCTTAAAAATTGTTAAATTGTTCTACCAAAATGGTAATTCTGCCGTGGCCACATATCGTGCTTTACGACCAGATTATGGTCGGCATAATCGCCCTTCCCAACAAACGATTTTAAACATTGTAAATAAATTTGAACGGAATGGTTCGGTGACAGATATTATAAGACCAGTGCACCATCGGAATACACGTTCTCTTGAAAACATCGCTGCGGTTAGTGCAAGTGTGACTGAAAACCCAAGATTATCAATTACACGGCGCGCTCAGCAATTGGGTTTATCCTACGGGTCGGTATGGCGTATTTTGCATTTGGATTTGCATTTTCATCCGTACAAAGTCCAGCTCACACAAGAACTAAAGCCTACAGACCATGGACAGCGTCGAACATACGCCAATTGGGTACTGGAACAACAAGCACTAAATGAAGACTTTTCAAAGAAAATTTTCTTCAGCGATGAGGCCCATTTCTTGCTCGGTGGATACGTAAATAAACAAAACTGCCGTATCTGGGGCTCCGAAAATCCACAGGCAATTGTTGAAGTGCCGTTACATCCACAAAAAGTGACTGTCTGGTGTGCATTATGGTCTGGTGGTGTCATTGGACCATATTTTTTCGAAGATGATCAAGGAAGAACCGTTACCGTCAATTCCGAACGATATGGCCGTATGTTAACCGATTTTTTTTGGCATGAAATTGAAGATATGGACCTGGCCAATACGTGGTTCCAACAAGACGGGGCCACATGTCACACAACACGAAATAATCGGGCTTTGTTGCAAGATAAGTTTCCAGGACGAGTAATTTCGAGATTGGGTGATGTGAATTGGCCACCAAGATCTTGTGATCTAACGCCATTGGACTTTTTTTTGTGGGGCTATGCAAAAGATCGTGTTTATGCCAACAACCCTCTAACAATTGACGTGTTGAAAGATAATATCCGTCAAGTAATGGCCGAGATATTGCCTGAAATGTGCCAAAAAGTAATAGAAAATTACCTCAAAAGAATTGAGTCCTGCAGGAGATCCCGTGGAGGACATTTAAATGATATTTTGTTTCACAATTAATGCCATTAACCAGACTTTATAATGAAATAAAAATTTTATCGCAATCTAAATCTTTACTGTGTTTTTTGTTAATTTACTTTCTCAAGCTGAACTTGGATAACCCTTTATAAATCAGTTTATTTTTATGCACTGTATAATTACGAAAATATATTTATTTACAAAGTGACATCTACGCAAAAATAGAGTAGCCAACCTTTTAAATCCGATATAGAAGCAGTTATAGACTAAAGTCTATATATATATATATATATATATATAAATCGATATACAAGGTGTCCCTAAACTTAGTGGCATAAATTTAGGAGCAGATTAAGCAAGTCAAAATAAGACGAAAATCTAAATAAATATTTTTCCTAATTGCGTATGTTTAAAAGATACAGGGTGATAAAGTTTTACTTATCATATCAGTTTTTTTAATATAACTTCTACTATGGTAGACTTGGAAAGGGGATATTTTGCGAACAGTCACTTACTACCAAAACACACAGGGCCGGCAGCTTTTCATTTTGACGTGTGGTGCTTATCTACAGTTGGTTGGTAGCAGTGGTTAATGGATGGGGGGTGTGGGTGTTCTTTTTCTTGTTGGTTGCGGGAAGGAGAACAAAATAAAATTGGAATAGTTTTTTAGTCAATTTATTTATCAAACTCAGTCACATTTTATATACAGGGAAAGTTTTTTAACTTTGAAATATCTCGCGTAATAAGCACACTACTAATTTTAGCACTAATATATCCCCCCGGAATGATTAAATTTAGTTTATATAGTTTTTTCGAAAGTGCTTATTACGCCAGATAGTTTCAAGTTTCAAGTTAAAAAAACTCACCCTGTAATGGAATCGAATGGGATAGGTACCTATATTACTGCTACATCGGACGTTTTTAGGGTTGGCATCTGCCACTTCTTGGATTAAGGGTTACCAGCATCAAAAATACGGGGTTAAAATAATCGTTCTAAATTTTTTTCCGAGAGACAATTAAAACAGAGTTACTCTAAGATTCGAACTAACTTACATTTGTTGATATATATATCCATCTATCCACTAACACAATTGGTGGTAGCAAACACGAACTCAGAGATAATAAACAAACCGCACGAACTGTAAATAATAATAATAATATAACTCAAAGTTTGGTCGGTTACCATCGGTATAGTAGTAGTATTATTATTATTATTATTATTATTATTATTATTATTATTATTATTATTATTACTTACACATACTATACCGACCGACTTTGATACTTTAAACTTTGGATCCCTCAGGTTCAACCACCCTGGCTTCAACCGTAAATTTGTAGAGGGCGTTGGTGTGTATCCCAGGCTAGCAGGATAACAAATTTAGAGACCGCAAAAGAAATGCAATTTTTCTGCTGAAAATACGTGTGGTGCTGAGCAACACCATTTTCCTTTACGTGTGGTGCTTGAGCTCGCGAGCACCGCTATTGTCGCCGGCCCTGAAAACACATATTCACACGTAATTACAATTACAAAAAGGTGTACCTCTTAACCTTCTACTGGTGGCGCACGGCCTAACAGGCCCAAGCGATCTTATTTAGCGGATCATTATGAAAATAATTAAGAGACAACTCTGAATTTTTTAGTACCTTCCTAACTTTTTGCGTAGAAAGGTGTAGTGCAATGTTTATTTACTTACAGTTCTTCTTCTTCTTCTTCTTAAAACTGAACACAGATCACTGTGTTCAGGGTAATGGCCTCTAGCTTACTTAAAAGCTATTTGGCCAGCTCATTATGTTTTTTGAATATTTATATATGTTCAAGGGTCTCAATTAAGAGAATCTGAGTACAACTCATCCCTTAAATCATTTATTTTAAATTATTATTGTTCATAGTTCATTTTAATATTAATTTATGTCTAATTTCTTTCACAAATTCCACTGTATCACTTAAAAAAAAAAAATTTCAACCTTATTTTTCGATATATTCTTGTTTATTTATTAATATGTCCATTTTCTTTCTTCGTTTCTTTTCAATACATTTAACATTGTCCAAAATTACTTATCATCATACATAACATTACACTTTTACAATCATCCATATAATTTACCCATTAAATATTTCATACCAATTTGTTTTTCATGTATACATTTTTTATTGTTTAACCTTCATTTTGTAGTCCATTCCAACCATGCACCATGGCGAATGGCTCTATGCACATATTATCTTTAATTATTTTGACCATCCATCGTGGAAATTATTCAGGAATCAAATTAATCTATTGTAGATTTGTATAAATGGTACTGACCAGTGTATTTTTGTACTGGGAGTCCCATGTTGTCTTCTTAAGGAAGGCCGTCTACGACCTGTCTGCTTCAGCAGACAACACAAAACTGATTGACACAGAACATAAGCTGATTGATTGTACAGTTCTAACTTAAAAAGTTATA